CATTGAATCTAATCAAATATAGATACCAAGTATGCATTTCAAAATAAAGTTCAGAGAATGCTCACCAAACAAGAAGACGATAGGACGAGCAAGTTTTGGATCGATAACATAGGTCTACCATGTTAATAGCATAACAATTACAGATAAACAAACACCCTGATTAGAAAAAATGAAACTTGAGATACCTGATGAAAAATAACAGGGTAAACCTCGAAATCCCTTTACCATTCCATTCATCCTCATTTGACGAGCAACAACCTCTTAATATCGTGCACAAATACATGAAATAAAGATAATATAACCAATGTATATGATTCTGTAAGATAAGACAAAGGTAAATAACTGTTTACCTCTAAACTCTGCTTAAATAGCTACAGGGAAGCCTCCAAAACACGTATGGACAGAGCGTCGGAATGCTCCATGGGATCTCACTCTCCATAAAACTTTAAATGCTGAGATACATAGAGTTAGAGAAAGAACATAAAAACTCTTGCAAGACAACCTAACACCTAACAGGCCAGGTGAAGAAAATTGAATCTTCAAAATCAGAACACCAAACCATACATTTCTCTCTATTTCCACCACTAAAGTATTCATCGATCCATCTAACTATTAGGAATAAAAGTTTAAGAGAATTGAAAGGAACATATAGCACAATAGCTAACAAAACAAGTTAACTAACTCAGAGAACGTCATTAAGGTTTTATTGAAATACTAACTGCCATCTGCCATAATTTACAAGAAAAACAGTTACAACCATCAATGCTTTAACCAATGTCACAGTGCTACAAGTACTTGGGGGAAGTGTTTTAATTAGTAGTCTGGCCAGTTTCAACGCCCAGACCATATAAAACACCGGCGTATTTCTGAGTAGACCCATTGAAAAAAGTATCCCTCAACTTCCTGAAAGTACAGGCAGTAAGGAGGCTATCTGATCCCGCTTGATGGCAAACTCCAATCCTTTCCACTTCTAATAACTCTGCAAGCTTGTTCAGCCCACCATGGAAACTGTTGCAAAACTTCATCAAATGCTTGATGTCATAAACCATTGGGAAATACATATTGATCAAATCAAAGAATGCAGCCTGCGTCCCTGGTAGGCTTCGGCAAGTCAACAATTTCAGCAAGTACCCAAAATCATACCCACTGTGAAAGGTCACCCAGTAAACATTATCGTTCAAAACAATCCCAGATGACATTAGAAGCTCACCGAAGTGATTGACATCAATACCCTCTTCATTGTTCTTCTGAAAATCAATACCACACTGGCGCAAAAGCTCAATGGAATCACTAGCGAAAATATCGTTACTAATGTTGAACTCCCTGAAATTGAACTGCCAAATGCAAAACTTATCTGTTCCACAAGTTGGGAGATTCCCATTCTCATCAGAAAACGTAAGACCCAACTGAATCAACTTCAACGTGTCGACATTATCTTTGAGGGTTTGATAGTTATAATCGTTGATATTCTTAAAAGCACCCACAGGGCGAACCACCACGCCGGGGAACTCAGTATCCATCGCTATGTAATTAAATTGGTCGACAATTTCACGCATTAGAGCGAACTCTTCCTCCACGTTATGGTTCCACACCTCACGGATATGAATCGACTCACCTTTCGGCAATATGGACATACCTCGAATATCAACCGAACCAACGAAATGGCAAAACGGAAGAACCCACCGTAATCGAAAAAAAAAATTGAAGGAAAAAAAAAAAACAAAAAATCGGAAAAAGGCCCTAGAAACCTAGGCGGGCCGTCAGAAATACCACCGCCGCAGAACAAGGAGGTTACGGAAAATCTCCTTAGATCTAAAGGATCTCGGAGAAGAGAAGGCGCGAGTGAAGCAATAAGGAGAAATCCCGAGTGAAGATAGAACCCTAGAAGATGAAAAATCGATTGAGCGAAAGAAGTGAAACCCCCGAGAACTGGGAAGCGGATCTGACCTTGAAAACCTAAAATTGAATGGTGGTACAGAGAGATCTTGAAGCAGGGAAGTAGTGATTTTTGAGCTTCGCCGAAGAAGAAGAAGAAGAAGAAGAAGAAGAAGAAGAAGCGTGCAGGTTTAGGAAGGAGAGGCAAAGGAGCACACAAAGCTCGGCTTACACCCTCCCTAAAATTTGCTTCCTCTCATCGGGATGAGGAATGAAAGGGAATGATTGTACGTTTACATTCTAAACGCCGTCGTTTCATTGTTTTATCAATTTTGTCTTTTTCTCTCCTTTTTCAAATTATTTTATTTTTATTCAAAACATTTTTTTTTATAAGGCGTGAAAATCTCTCACTAACAAATGCATTTTTAAAACTAACAAATTAAAATAAACTATATCTTTTAGTGGTGAACTTGAATTGTTACAAATTGTATCAGAGCTTGATACCGATCAGTGTCTCAACGTGGCAGCAAGAACGCTAGCCCCAAGAACTTGAGACTATATGTAAAAAACCTAATTAAAATTTGTTGTTATAATTTATTTATTTTTAAATGATTAATGATCCAATTAATATATATATATATATATAATTGTAATTAAAAATGTTTTGTTTTTTCATAAATTATTTAAAATTTTGTGTGGTCTTAAAATTATTTTATAAATTGCGAGGGAGACAGCTTGATCGCAACGTATCAATTATTTTTTAATATTTGAAAAATATATATATATATATTTAATTGTTATATTCAAAGCCCATAAATGAGATTGGGCTTTGCACACGTTAATTATGGGCTTCATGATAAGTCCAAGCCCATAATTCATGTCGATCCACCAAGCCCATATTGAAAAGGTTATATTTATTATTTAATGAAAAATTTTAATGGTAGATTCATATTCATAATTATTTTATTTATAAACATATATATATATATATATATATCAATTAAATAAGTGACTGTAAATATATATTTTTTATAATGGTAATTAGTATGTTTTGTAATCATAAATTCATAATAATTACTCGTTGTATTTATTGACAATATTTGACTTTTTTGGTTTTTAAATACATAATTTATTACCCAAATGTTATTCATTAAAGTAAAAGTAAAAAAGTAAATGAATTTAAATTTTAAATAAAAGTGGGAACTTTAAATCAACCATGCCAATAAAGTTAATAATAACTGTTTGAAAATCACAAGTTTTTTACTTTTTTTAGACTATTTTATTTCTTCAAGAAAAAAAAAAGGTCCCAATATTTCTTTTAGAAAGAAAAAATAAATAAAATCCTATAGTAAGATTGTTTCAAAGTAATTCGAATGGTCGTACCATGCTTGTTTGACTTGTTTGATGGGAGGAACCAATGAATCTAGATACTTACCCTTTTATGGTATTGAAATAGAGATTTTAGAATGATGTTCGGGTGGTAGAAATCTCTCCCTAGTAGACATGTTTTAAACTGGGAACGAAGCATTCCTCCTTATAAGAGTGTAGAAATCTCTCCCTAGTAGACATGTTTTAAACTGGGAACGAAACATTCCTCCTTATAAGAGTGTAGAAATCTCTCCCTAGTAGACATGTTTTAAACTGGGAACGAAGCATTCCTCCTTATAAGAGTGTAGAAATCTCTCCCTAGTAGACATGTTTTAAACTGGGAACGAAACATTCCTCCTTATAAGAGTGTAGAAATCTCTCCCTAGTAGACATGTTTTAAACTGGGAACGAAACATTCCTTATAAGGAGGTAGAAATCTCTCCCTAGTAGACACGTTTTAAACTGTGAGGCTATAGCATAAAAACAATATTTACTAGTGGTCGACTGGATTGTTATAAATGGTATCGGAGCTAGGCACCGAGTGGTGTGCTAATGAGGATGCTAGGTCTCATAGGGGTGGATTGTGAAATCTCACATTGGTTGGAGAGGGGGACGGAATATTCCTTATAAGGGCGTGGAAACCTCTCTCTAGTAGAGGCATTTTAAAACCGTGAGACCAACAACAATGCGTAATGGACAATATCTACTAGCGGTAGACATGGGCTTTTACATCTCGTGTCATGCCTTTTATCTGTTTCTAAATCATCTCATGTATATGAAAACATGTTAGATCTGCGTAGGCTGCCGATCTAAGTGAAAATTCGTGGAGATCAATGGATATAAATGCTGTTCTTCAGATCTTATTCTATGGACATATGATTAATGCCCATTCCAGGGCCTGTCTCTCTCCCTCTAACAAAGGATTAGGTACAATTATTTTCAGGATAGGAAGCCACCCAACATGCCATAATAATATCACCATAAAATGTGGATCCAACAACAATTACCAATAACATACACAATATCAGATCCAAATCCAAATCCAAATCCCTTTTGGGAAGGTGAAATTAAACATCTATTACACCTCAGAATTGCAGGTAACAAGAGATTAAACAACGAATCAAGACCTTTTCAGTAGCCCTTTTCAGGTCAATTAACTAGCTGCTTAGGCTCAGGTTGTCAGTAAATATCAGATAGAACAAGTATGAACAGGTTTGGATGTATATTTTCTCAGATCTCAAAACTGATTAACATTATTGAGTATGTGCAAACTAAAACAAGGTTCCATGTCTCTTCAGAATTGCAGAAAATGAAATGAATCTGATCAGGTGTGGCTATGAATGGAAATTTTCAAACTATAGATTAAACGATGCCTAACCCGATGTGCCGAGGATTCGATCTAGCTATGCATTGATAACATGGGTCAGCCCTGTTGGTGGTAACACCTACAGATCAATCAACGTCCTGTAGATTATCCGAGCCCGAGATTCGTCTTGGTTTCGTGCCTGAATAAAGTCCAAAAAGAAAATGAACCAATGTTATTCCATGCATACCTCTAAACTCTGCAACAATACCAGCAATCAGAAACGTTAGCTACAGGGATACCTCAAAACACACGGATGAACAGGCTGCAAATGTTCTACAACAAGACAATCAAGAACAGAACAATCAAACCCAGAAACCAAAATTGTGTCTATTATGACAGCCTGATGGATCCTATCAGATTCAAGTCTGATTCGACAATGGAAACAGGTGAAGACTCAACAAAGAAACGTCATTAAGATTTTATTGAAACACTAAACTGCCATAATTTACAAGAAACCACAAGCTGCAAAAAACAGTCGAAGGTTTCTATTACAGAGCAGGAAAGCGGGAAATAGTTACAATCATCAATGCTTTAGCCAAATTGTACAAAAGTAACTAACAGACTCACACTTCTACAAATACTTGGTAATTCTCTTCAATTAGTTCTAGTAGTACGCTATTCATCTTCGACACCGAGACCGTATAAAACACCTGCGTATTTCTGCGTAGAACCATTGAAAAAGGTGCCCCTCAACTTCCTAAAAGTACAAGCAGTGAGCAAACTATCTGATCCTGCTTGATGACAAACTCCAATCCTCTCCACTTCTAGTAATTCTGCAAGTTTGTTCAACCCACCATGGAGACTGTTGCAGAACTTCATCAAATGCTTGATATCATAGAGCACTGGAAAATAGATCTTGATGAGCTCAAAAAACCCGGCCTGCGTTTCGGGTAAGGCTCGGCAAGTCAGCAATTTCAGCAAGTAACCAAAATCATACCCACTGTGGAACGTAACCCAGATAACATCATTGTTCAACACAACCCCAGAAGACATTAGAAGCTCACCAAATCGATTAACATCGATACCCTCTTCGTTGTTCTTCTGAAAATCAATACCACACTGGCGCAGAAGTTCAATGGAATCACTAGCAAAAATATCATTAATAGTATTGAACTCACGGAAATTGAACTGCCAAATGCAAAACTTATCCGTTCCACAAGTTGGAAGATTTCCATTCTCATCAGAAAACGTAAGACCCAATTGAATCAACTTCAAAGTATCAACATTACTCTTGAGAGTTTGGTAGTTGTAGTCGTTGATATTCTTGAAAGCACCAAGCGGTCGAAGCACAACGCCGGGGAACTCAGTATCCATGGCTATGTAATTAAACTCATCAACAATTTCACGGATAAGCGCAAACTCCTCTTCTAAATTGGCATCCCAGACCTCACGGATTTGAATCGAATCGCCTTTGGGTAAAATCGACATTCCTCCAAGGTCAACTCGACCAAGAAAGAAAAGAAAGCGGAAGAAGCCCTAAGTGAGAAAAAGATCGCGAACAGAGCTCGAGATCTCAGAAACGGAAGATGCGGCGGAGGAAAACCAGCGCCGGAGTAGAGGAATCTTGACAGATCTGGAAGATTGGCAGCGGAAAAAAGGTAAAAGAGAAAGAATCGAGTAAGAACCCTAGAAATGAAGTGATTTAAGCAAAGAAATGAAGTGGGTAAGCAGATCTGAGCTTGAAATTGAGAATTGAAAGGGTTTAATGGCGGATCTAGAAGAAGAAAGCAGTAGATTCAGAGGTTGGGAGAGATGAAGAGAGGAAGCGTGCAGGTCAACGAAGAAGATGAAGAAGGCGGTGGAGGAGCACTCAGACACAGGGTTTGAGAGCTCTCGGCTAAGACCCTTCCCTAAAACATTGCTCCATGACGGTGATAGTCGAAGGGGGAAGTGTGAAGCATTTGTTTAACCTTTTTCAAAACGACGCCGTTCCATTCCATTCTGTATTTGCGTACGACGCCGTTTCTTTCCTCAAATTTCAATATTCAATTATTCAATATTGGCGTCTTTCCCTCCTAATCTCGCATCTCAAATTTTGGAGGTTAATTTTCAATTTCACCCCAAAAAAAAAAAAAAAATTTAATTTAATTTAAATTTTTTATTATTATTATCATTAATAACCTACCTAGTTTATTCTCGACCGTTTCATTTATTGTTCTAACAAACACTCGTGTAAATGATGATATATTTAAATTCAGAGCTTGGTTTTTTTTGCTCGGGCTCTCGTAGCTTTAATAAACAAATAGTCTGTCAGACGATCCGGCGTTCTTGACGTCTAGCTCAGTTTTTCATTCTCTGTCCCGAGAAAATTCTCCATTTATTTTTGCTGGTCAAATTCACCACGTGTAATTTTTTTTTTTACCGTTTATGGTTATTTTTTAAAAAATAATTATTAGAAAGTTTTCATTTTTCAATATAATCTCTATTTAAAAATTTGTAGAAAAATATCATAATAATAAATCAATAATGGTCCAATTTTAATATTACAATTCCAACGTATTTCTGTGTTGAAAATATATTTATATTAAACAGATACGAAAAATATAATCTCGTCCCCGACCATTCCTCATCTAAACAAGAATCTCTTTCTCTCTTTCTCTAAAAGTTGACATGTCATGTGCCAATTAATTTTATTTTTTATTTTTCATGAAAATGACACGTCATATACAAATAAATAAATATCTAATAAAATAACTATAATTTCTCGATTCAAATAATTTGATATTAATTTTTCGGGTCAATATATGTCACTGTAATGTAAGAAACAACGGGTCAACAATAAACATAGTCTCAATCAACGTACTTCGTGTATTTAATTTTGATTAACACTGACATACTCGTGTTGAAGTGACTCAAATAATATTCATTATCATAGGTTAAAAAAACATTAA